TATATATATTTATATATATTTATATCCCGCTTCCGTGGTGTCAACAACCTCATTGTAGGGGATTTAGTCCCACACCGCCTATAGGTGAATGATTTTTCTATATAAAAGCAAATGCATCTGAGAGCCATGTGAAGAACAGCAGTTAGCAAGCAGGCGGGCTGGGCCTGGGCGGGTTTTCTGGCGGGACAGTTATCTAGCTACTTGACTTGATGATAATATAAAATTTATTTTATTTGTGGCATGCTCGACTCGTTAACAAGCTGCTCGATAAGAGTTAACGAGCGGCTCGATTAGAGGCTCGTCGAGCTTAAAGATAAACGAGCTTGAACTTGAACACGAGCTGAACTCAAACAATATATTTCTAAACGAACTCAAACTCGAACAGCTAACAAAATAGCTCGGCAAACTTCGAACTGAGCTTGAACACGTTTTGGTCAAACGAGCTCGAATACGAACATGTCTAAGCTCGGCTCGGCTCGGCTCGGTTCGTTTGCAGCCTTATATAATGATCAATTTACCCAAAAATAAGTGGAAGATACCATCCCAACTATACCATTAGTTATAGTTAGGTAATGGTGGGATGTGGGATATTTTTACATTTATCCAACCATCCCACAACTTCCTTTTGCCCTCTTAAGTTGGCATTCATGCTCCTTAAGGAAGGTTCTCAAAATTTTATAACTTGTTGTCAAAAGATTTATTTTAGTATATTTTCATGTTGCGTTCTGGATCTAGATTACGCATCACATGTTAGGATATTACTTGAGTGCAACTACTGAAAAAGATGAAAAATAGGAATTTTCATAAGTAATTGTTATTTTGCATATTTGAGCTTTAGTTGAAATGCTTTAGTATCCTCTTGAGCTTCAATCAAGATGCTTTGAGCCTGGTGCTAAGCATATGGGGGTCAACTTGAGGATTGAGAATACCCTTTTTGATGAAAAAGACCTTTTCTTGTCCTTCCCAGTTTGCATCACGCCCATTTTGAGATGCTTTTAGCTTGAAGTGGGTTTGATCAATCCCGCTTTAAGGTCTATGGCATCTTGAGTTGACTTCTGTGCTTTTCAGATACCATTTTCTTATAGAACCATCATCCTTTCATACCATTCAGTCAGGATTGCAGTGCTGATTTAAAATTGTTTAATATTTTTTATAGGAATTGAAATGCAAATGTTTTTGAGCTCTGTATCTCGCTAAATTCATATTCTGTCTTAAAAACACAAATTCCTATGATATGGAGGGAAGGCTTATCAACCGTTCTCTTATATTCTAGACTCAAAATGACAATTTGTAGACATAGTACGTTTTTCTGTGGCAGCATACCTGATTGAATAGAGCATATTCTGACTATTTTGTGTTGCTTCGTCTCATAGTTCGTACAGCTCTGGTTGCTTTGATAGCATTTATGCCAACGAACCCTGGTGGTGCACTGGGCTCCCTTGACTACCCCAAGGGAGAAAGGCGCCAACTTGCTATCAAGTCACGTGAAACTGCGCCAATATACGGCAACACAGAACGGCAAAAGCTAATAAATGAGGTTTAACTTCTTTCTCATTTCTATTGTGTTTTATTCGTTCATTATTATTATTTTGCTTATTTTAGTGAATCTGTCTGGCTACAGATCCATCAATACATGCTCAGTAAGGTTCCACCAATTCCTGAGCTCCCCCCTCCTTCAAGCATTAATGAGGAGACCAACAGCAGCATATCAGAAGAAGCACAGCAAACCAATGCTAGCAATAATGAGGCACCACCGGCGGAAGCCGTTGTTCCAAACCCACAAGTTGAGGGTATGGCAGCTGAGGATATGCATGAGCTTCATGTTGATGCAGCAGCTGGGCGTCTACGACTAAGCTTTCGTGCAGAAGTTGCTGTATCGCGTGAAACAATACCAGAAAGGGACTCTGTGAGAGCTCAGAAGCCCATGACTGACCGGTTTTTCAATTGGGCGGCCATTGGACTTGTTGTTGCCATTGTGGTTCTCCTAGTGAAGAAGTTCCTGAAGTCCAATGGTATAGCCCCTTATTTAGATGAACTGTGAATTACTACATGAACTGAAGATACATGTAGTGCTTTACAAAATCTACTGCTACGGTAAACATTTGTTTGTACTTATAAAATTCTTATAAAAATGTTCTAGAACACATGTTGTGTATAGTCGGTTCCTCCGGAAGTTAATTGCACATGTTGATCTACTCACAAAAGAAAAAATAATCTATTTTGTCTTTCCAGAGCTGCTACATTTCCCAAAAGCATTTACTACATTTCAAGGTCGAGCAATCTGTTCTGTTAGATTAAATTGTATGATAATTATTCACTACAGACACATCATTTAGACTGTGAAAATTGGATAAATCTTTCGGTGTTTCTGTTGTTCCTATTCACATGTTTTTCTCTTTGTATAGATTCTTGCATCATATGTTGGCTGACATTTGCAAGAGGTTGTACCCTGGTGTATGCTTTTTAATGATGATATTCATCTTGTTGATAAGACTAGAGAGGGCGTTGAAGGTAAACTTGAATTATGGAGGTCAAACTTAGAGTCTAAAGGCTTTCGTTTAAGTAGATCTAAAACTGAATATATTGAGTGTAATTTTAGTAATAATAGATCTAGTGGGGGGATTGTGACTTTGGGCGATCAAGTCATTAAGAAGAGCATACATTTTAGATATCTTTGGTCTATTGTTCAGAGTGACGGTGAAATAGATGGGGATATTATTAGTAGAATTAAAGTTAGATGGTTGTAGTGGAGGAATGCATCGGGCTTGTTATGTGATAGAAAATTCCCTCTCAAACTTAAGGGAAATTTCTATAAGACGGTAGTGAGACTTGCAATGCTTTATGGTGCAAAATTTTGGCCATTAAAAGAGAAGCATAATATTAAGTTAAGTGTTGCAGGGATGAGGATCCTCGGGTGGATGAGTGGCTTTACTCTTAAAGACAGGATACAAAATGAGCATATATGTGAAAAGGTTGGAGTAGCTCCAATGGAAGAAACGATTAGAGAGAGTCGCCTTAGATGGTTTGGTCACATAAAAAATGTTGGCCTTCCGATGACTCGGTTAGGAAAGTAGATGTATTAGATTTTACTTATATTAAGAAAGGTAGCGGTGACCTAAAAAGACTTGGTTAGAAAATACTAGAAATGACCTTTCCTTATTAGATTTAGATGAGAATTTGATCCGTAGAGGACACAATGGAGAAAAAGGATTCATGTAGCTGACCCCACATAGTGGGATAAAGGTTTCTTGTTGTTGTATATTCGCTGAAATTTACTTTCATGAAATATGGAATATTCATCCTTAATAGATGGTAATACCAGGCATTGTTTTTGGTGATTATAGCTTTTTGTGCACTAAATGTTTTTTTATTGAACATAAATTTTGAATTATTATTGTTAGGAATATTAGTGATTTTCTGTCTTTTATATTTTTTAAATTATATTATAAATATTCTAGTCTGTTATTAAATTTGTTAGCAATTAATTAGCTATTTATTAATATGTTGTTTGTTCGCTATCAATTTGTCGTATTTTTGTTAATTCTTTTGTTCATCAATATGAGAATTCAAGTCATGTAAAACTATTTATGGAATGGATACAATTTTACTTGGATGTGAAGGCCCTTCTTCTACTCTGGATTTGATCCTTAATCAGTGTCAGATGGGGGACTCTTACGAGGTAGAGAATTTTTTTGTTCATGAAAGAGGCTTGCTTGTCTTTTCATCTTTTCCATCTCCTATATTGTCTTTTCTAGATTTTTTCAAAATTGTCTTCTGAAAGTGGTATCATAGCCAACATGTCTTGTTCATTTTATATGCAAAATTGCTAAGTTAAAAAGGAAGTTTCATCAAGGTGTTGAATCCTTGCATCACCATTATTAATTTCTTGGTATTTCTTGTTTGGCGGCTCTTCATTTTCCCCTCCCCCCCCGCCTATCCTAAAGTTTTCCTTTAACTAATGGATGCACTATTTTTTAATACCATTTTACTATTACAAAGTTACTGTTCTCCATGAATTTTGAATTTATTGTTACGCTAATACTAAAGTTATTGTTCACATGAATAATACTTCCACCCTTGAAATTTTTGTCCTTGTTGTGTATATGATTAACTTCTTGATTATCATAATAGCGTTAACTTGCAAAATGAAAGTTTCGGCATTTTGATTCTGATGATTGCTCATCATTTTTCTTCGGGTTACAATGAAGGATATTAAACCTTTCTTAATAGTACGTATGAATCCTTTGAGCCTCATTGTATTATTAGAAAGTTGTGATTTCATGCTTGTGTGCTTATTTTACCCATTGATTTGATTATTTGTCCCACTCAATATTGAGGATTTATTACTTAATCAAGGTATTTTCAAACCTCCAGATTTTTTAATTGATGTTTTTGCACATAGATTTCTGATTATTTAAAGTTAGCATTAATGCCAATTCTTGTACTATTTTCAAATGAGCTTGTTGATTTTCCTTAGTTTGTTGGAAGTATCATCCACCATTTGATGATTTGTAGTTGATAGGGCAGATAGGGCATGATGTTTGCTTATGGTGAGTTATTACTACTAAGCTGAATAAAGATTTTTATAGCTTAGAGAATTAATATTGGCATAGATTTTGAATTTTTATTTTTTCATGAACGTTTAAGTTATTAATCTTTTATATTTCATTATTATATTAGGATTATTCTAGTCAATATCATTAAATTTGTTAGCAATAATATTTTAGTAGCTTGCTATTTCTTCAATTTATAAATATGAAAATTTTGAATCATGTTAGTTTATGACATGTCATAAATGTAATTCTTCTTGTAATGTGAATATGAAGATTCTTTTTATCTACTTTGAAATTTGATTATTGATTTGTTGTGCTACTTGAATCCTTTTGAGAAGAGAGAATCTCTTTATTCAAGCCTTGTTAATTAACCTTTTTTATTGTCTTTATATTTTATAAGGTCATCCTATATTTTTTTTCGCATCAACAAAAGTGCATCCTCATGATGAAATTTTGAAAAAAAATGAGAGTAAAAACTCAAAATAACTCCCCAACTCTATGTTTGTTCCCATTTCTCTAATTTCTTCTATCTATGTACAAAATTGATGACAATTTAGTCTTTGAGGGACCATGAGATCATTTTTATTTAGTCAAGAGATTAAATTAGAGAAATATGATACTTGGGAATTAAATTGACCACATACAAATAGTTGGGAGACGATTTTGGATTTTTACCTGAAACAAATAGGAGTTAGACATTGCTACTCTTATTTTTGTACACTTCATCATCAATACAATCTTCATCCAGCTGCTCTCTCCACTGCATTATCTTGACTAGGGCTGCCATTATTGACCAAACCAGAACTCCCACAACCCTCAAACTACCTGTCATAAGAACAGTAAGCCCCAACAGCCACAGTGCAAACCCACTCCACTGTACCCCCTTCCCCAAACTTTCATTTCCAGCTACAAAAACCAGTGGTTCCACTTTCATTCCCAGCATCCACAGCCACAGCACAATGAAAGCTATTCCCATCATAGTCTTCTCAACTCCTTTCTCTTTTCTCTCCTCACCATAGACCGTGTCGTCGACAACCGGCTTCACAATCACCCTTCTCCACAGCATCATTATCTCGTAGATCCCAACGAAGATGAATGTCCTCTTAGTCCAAATCACGAGTCCGATGTTGTCGTCGCCGATCGGTTCGAATGTAGCTCTGTCTGTAGCCTTAATAGCCCAGGAAATGCAGCCTTGGAAGAGGATGAGGATGACCCAAGCTATACTTCTGGGTGCTTTGGTGGTGAGTGAGTGACCTGTGGTAGAGAATATAAGGCATGTAAAAGATAGAGCAAAGACAAGGATGTAGAGAATTATAGATATAATTTTGCAAGTAGGAGGAGAAGAGGTGAGCCTGGATAAGAGAAGAAAGGACAGGGGTAGGAGGAGGGAGAGGAGTGTTAGGCTAATTCTATGGAAGGATTGCTTCACAAGGCTGGAGATGAAGTTTCCTTCACCATTTTCCTCTTGTGATGTCATTTCCTCTTACCTTCCTGTATGCATCTTGGTTATGTCTGTAGCTGGGTTTAAGTAGGGAGATTGATGGAGGAAGAAGTGGGAAGCATGAGTATTTTGTTGTTGGCTGCATCTTTGTAAACATTTTTATTTGGTTTTCTATTAAGCATTCTAACTTTGGTGGTTAGGAGAATATATATTTGTATTTTCTTATTGCTGGAGAAGACAGAATGTTGTATTTTGACAATGTATTGATTGTTGACCTTATGGTGGTTGAGATTGGCCTTTATTGGAATGTGCTGAACATGTTGTATATGGTTAGGTGAGACTATTTTATGTCCTGGGAAGATGTGAGTTCTTGAGAAGTAGCTACTCTTCATTGCAACTTTGTAGGATACGAGAACTTATTACGTGCGGAGTCTGAAACGTAGAGGTACGTCCGGACTTCAATAAAATGTTGATACGTGAATATTTAATGGGAATTACTTTTTTACTTTATATATTTAATGTGTCCATAGAACTTTAAGCCAAATGCATCAAAAGTGCAGGTAAATCACAGTAATAAAGCGCAATAAAAGAGCTGTCAAATTGTAACTAAAGTGCAGGTAAAATGCAAATAAAACACACAAAAAAGTGTAACTAAAGTGCACTCCACGTGTCAAATTTTAACTGGATGTCTAGACGTATCTCTATTTTTTAATAGCATTTACTATTACAAAATTACTGTTCTCCATGAATTGTGAATTTATTGTTACGCTAATACTGAAGTTATTGTTCACATGAATAATACCTCCACCCATGAGATTTTTCTCCTTCTTGTATACATGATTAACTTCTTGATTATCATAATGGTGTTGACTTGCAAAATGAAAGTTTCGGCATTTTGATTCTGATGATTGCTCATCATTTTTCTTCGGGTTACAATGAATGATATTAACCCTTTCTTAATAGTACTTATGAGATCCTTTGAGCCTAATTGTATTATTAGAAAGTTGTGATCTCATGTTTGTGTGCTTATTTTACCCATTGATTTGATTATTTGTCCCATTTAATATTGAGGATTTGTTACTTAATCAAGGTATTTTCGAACCTCCAGATTTTTGTATTGATGTTTGTGCACATAGATTTCTGATTATTTAAATGTAACTTCAATGCCAATTCTTGTACTATTTTCAAATGAGCTTGTTGATTTTCCTTAGTTTGTTGGAAGTATCATCCTCCATTTGATGATTTGTAGTTGATAGGGCGTGATGTTTGATTATGGTGAGTTATTACTACTACTCAGCTGAATAAAGATTTTTATAGCTTAGAGAATTAATATTGGCATAGATTTTGAATTTTTATTATTTTCATGAACATTTAAGTTATTAATCTTTTATATTTCATTATTATATTAGGATTGTTCTAGTCAATATCATTAAATTTGTTAGCAATAATATTTTAGTAGCTTGCTATTTCTTCAATTTATAAATATGAAAATTTTGAATCATGTTAGTTTATGACATGTCATAAATGTAATTCTTCTTGTAATGTGAATATGAAGATTCTTTTTATCTACTTTGAAATTTGATTATTGATTTGTTGTGCTACTTGAATCCTTTTGAGAAGAGAGAATCTCTTTATTCAAGCCTTGTTAATTAACCTTTTTTATTGTCTTTATATTTTATAAGGTCATCCTATATTTTTTTTTCGCATCAACAAAAGTGCATCCTCATGATGAAATTTTGAACAATAAAAAGAGTAAAAACTCAAAATAACCCCCTAACTCTATGTTTGTTCCCATTTCTCTAATTTCTTCTATCTATGTACAAAATTGATCACAATTTAGTCTTTGAGGGACCATGAGATCATTTTTATTTAGTCAAGAGATTAAATTAGAGAAATATGATACTTGGGAATTAAATTGACCACATACAAATAGTTGGGAGACGATTTTGGATTTTTACCTGAAACAAATAGGACTTAGACATTGCTACTCTTATTTTTGTACACTTCATCATCAATACAATCTTCATCCAGCTGCTCTCTCCACTGCATTATCTTGACTAGGGCTGCCATTATTGACCAAACCAGAACTCCCACAACCCTCAAACTACCTGTCATAAGAACAGTAAGCCCCAAAAGCCACAGTGCAAACCCACTCCACTGTACCCCCTTCCCCAAACTTTCATTTCCAGCTACAAAAACCAGTGGTTCCACTTTCATTCCCAGCATCCACAGCCACAGCACAATGAAAGCTATTCCCATCATAGTCTTCTCAACTCCTTTCTCTTTTCTCTCCTCACCATAGACCGTGTCGTCGACAACCGGCTTCACAATCACCCTTCTCCACAGCATCATTATCTCGTAGATCCCAATGAAGATGAATGTCCTCTTAGTCCATATCACAAGTCCGATGTTGTCGTCGCCGATCGGTTCGAATGTAGCTGTGGCTGTAGCCTTAATAGCCCAGGAAATGCAGCCTTGGAAGAGGATGAGGATGACCCAAGCTATACTTCTGGGTGCTTTGGTGGTGAGTGAGTGACCTGTGATAGAGAATATAAGGCAGGTAAAGGATAGAGCAAAGACAAGGATGTAGAGAATTATAGATATAATTTTGCAAGGAGGAGGAGAAGAGGTGAGCCTGGATAGGAGAAGAAAGGATAGAGGTAGGAGGAGGGAGAGGAGTGTTAGGCTAATTCTATGGAAGGATTGACTCTTTAGCCATATAAGATGATGCGAAGGAATGTCTTATAGAGACTGTTACTCATTCCCATTGTCAAGTATAAACGAAAGGAAAGAAATCACCACAATTGACCAAAAACTAGGGAGTTTGAAAATAGATATAGATATATCATTCTGAAGGCCTCAAGAAGACTGAACGTGGAAAAAGAGGAGCTTTTGACGTTAATCAAGTCGATGACATTTCATACTCCTAGTGGCCTTCCTCTGGATTAATTATTATGTGCAAATACTGAATAATAACCAAATTACGTCACATCACCCTTTCACTGTGAACCATTACTCGGTACCACTGACTTGACTGCACTTGATTCGCCTTCGGACTTAACTGCCTCTAGTATCCGCACAAAATAATTACTCCTTCTGAGACACACTATAGCTTAGATATTAGAATGCTTGTTGACAGAGAAATGTCTAGAATAGAGGAGTTCGGAAAGGAGAGAGAGGTGTCAGCCCGAGTGTATGAGTACGAGGTTAGATTTACATATATTATTGTCGCTACAAATTTGGATGAATATTTAGTAATCGGAAGGCCAAGTAATTCTCGGGTGAAGACATTTGATCACCCAAGGTCAGGACTAATTATTATGTGCGGATACTAGACAGAGATAACCATTCGAATTTGCTGCACTTTTACAAAAACGCAGCAAAAACATAACTATATAAATGCATTTTTTACTGCACTTTTGCTCCCCTTTTACAAAAGCGCAGCAGAAACAGGCCAAGTAATTCTCGGGTGAAGACATTTGATCACCCAAGGTCAGGACTAATTATTATGTGCGTATACTAGACAGAGATAACCGTTCAAATTTGCTACACTTTTACAAAAACGCAGCAAAAACATAATTATATAAATGCATTTTTTACTGCACTTTTGCAAAAGCGCAGCAGAAACGCAACAAATATTCAATAATTTAATAAATATTAATTATTTGCTGCCTTCTTCTTGTCTTTTTGTAAAAGTGCAGCTAAAACAAACGATTCTCTCAATCTAGTGTCCGCACAGCAAAAGGACAGACGGTTTATCTCTCTCCTTGATGTTCAGCTTAATTGTGAAATTCCATCGAAGCATTGGAGACCCATCATCCTAACCAATGGAAAGAAAGGAGCTCGAAAGCTCATCCCAAGAACTTTTCTACTCAGAAGTTCATATTATCAACTTATAAACAACTTTAGCCCACAATCCAATCTAATTATAATAATTTTTTAATTATTTAAATTATTTTTTTCAAGATAATTTATTTAACCTCAAGGTTTCAAAGATTGTAAGTATTCATAAACTACTTGACAATAAATCACAACTTATCTATGGAAGGAAGTTTTATTTGGTCCGGTCGCAAGCAAAATCCCGTTGTACCAAGGTGTACCGAGTTTTTCGAAAAAAAACTCGGTACACCTCGGTATAGCGGGATTTTGCCTGCGACCGAATGTTTCTCTGCATCCGGTCGGAGGACGTAATAATTGGTCCTACGGAAGAGATGGTTGATTTTTTGAGCTTACTCAAATAGTTGATAATATTAGGAAAATGAGTTAAACAAGGATGGATGCACTATCTATACATTTTATAACCTCGTTACAAAAGATACTGGATATTTTGAATTTATTTTTTGGTTTTACTAGAGCAAAAACATTATAATAATTTCAATGTGAAAATTAAAAATAGAAAAAAGCAATCAAATTAAATCATTCAAGGAATTTACAACCACAAATAAAACAAGCTTCTTGTACTTCAGATGATGGGAAATCAAATCACATCCATACATTGAAACTCTAATTAGATATTCTTCCATTGAACAACAGGTAATCCTACCAGCTACAGAAGGATCAATTAAACATTAAGTTATCAGGTTTAGAATCTAATCTCCTATCCAAGCTACCAGGTTAGACCAACTATCTTCATATCTCAAATCATCAAAGGATTTTGAACACAACATTACAGAAGGAATACCAGAATTGGAGCTAAGATGGCAAACAAGTCAAAAACCAACTTCAGATTTAGAAGACAACTTTGTACGAGAAAATAGGAATACTATAACTAAAGACAAGATAAAGCTTACACCTAGCACCCAGCAGCTCTCATGAAGTTGTCAAAGGGACTTGCAGGAGGAAGCCTCAGAACCCGCCATGATTGGCCAACCAGTACCTGCTGAGAATCTGTAATCTGCACCTGCAGCAAGCAAGCAGATTCATTACAATGGAAGTTGTAGATCTAATGGCAGAGATTTGCTAAGTAGAGACTAGAGATTTACCTTCCCATTTGCTAATTTGTCACTCCCGTGGATAGCTTGTAAGGGATTCTGAAGTACTTCATCGTGCCCAGAAACTAGCCAGGTTGACAGCTTCTTCCTCATGCCCATGCCGAAGGCCTCGCACTGACTGGCCATGGTGCCATATGGAAGGGGTGAAGTTGAGACTGATGAGCCAGACACTTGACCGGCTACATGCAATGCCTGATTAAGCATGACCAAAGGTCTTATTAAAACATGAACACTAGTGCCAGTTAATGAATAAGGTTGCGTTTGAGACGGCTTTTTTACTACTTTTTGAAGTAGTTTTTTATATAAAAATTAAAATTTTTGTAATAGAAAGATACTTCAAGAAGTAGTAAAAAAACCGTCCCAAACAAAGACTTAAAGTGATCAAAATGTATTAACTGATCCAAACATTTTAGCACGGAAGACTGCTTGAGCATCCACTTACTCCAGAAATGATGTTTTCAGACTTCTAACGGTGAATATATGATAGGGAACACAAGAAGACAGAAACATTGTATATGATAAAGGGAAAAAGGAATTGAAGGAGCGATGATTGGCCTTTACGAGAAAATTTAGGGTAGGATGTTCAGACAAAATTTTGGCCAAAATGAATCTCAAAATCATTAGATTTGCTTTGATAAACGTGCAATACAAGATGAATCAATCAAAATTTATGGTGCACGCTTTCAAAGAAAATTCAATGGTTTTGAGACACATCCTGATCAAAATTTTGATTTGAGCTAATTTTTTCCACATTTATATGATATGGACTTCATTTTCCTACTATTCTAACTTTTATTCTCATTTTTATTTTTTTATTTTTTTACATTTATTGCTTACATAATCTTCACACTATAAATCATAATATTGAATGTGATCTCCGATACGAGAAGCCATTGCAGATTAATTTTCATCAATTTAGGCGATAATGTAACCACTCATCGAGCTTGTTAAAATTCAAGGTTGTTCAGAGAGCATATAAAAGTCCTCTCAAGAAATCTAATTTTACTCTGTAGCTTTCACTAACCAAACAAGTTCAATTCGTAAAATCTATTAACAAAAACCTATGCAGTTAATTTCAAAACATTTTAAAGGCTCAATATTTTGAAATCATAGATATCTTCTAATGCAATCAATCATATATTAAGAAATCTTGGATTCCACTGATTAATTGCCAAATATTATCAAAAATCATAAAATCATGTATGCATTTTGTTTTGATAATGTTAAAAGAGAATGAAAAACTAAATGCGCAAAGAGAATAATGATTCTTCCTGGTGCAAAAATGTCCATGTGTAATCTAAATGCTCGTCAATATATATATATATAAGCAACCAGAGAAAACTTTTCAATGCATTGAAAAATCTTAAAAATACCGATTCTAACAGCTGCCCAACACTCATAAATTGTGGTATTGATGGCTGTTCAGGCTTCGAGGGATGCAATCTTGGAAGATCAGTAGACAAGCATTCAACTGCCAGATCACCATCCATCGATGAGCTTAAATTTTCCTAAATTTTGAAGAAAAAGATCAATCAATACTTTCAAAGCAATGTCATTTCATGAAACCCTAAAGCAAAAGTTTTTATTTTGCTACTAAAGTTTGAGAAGAAAAAAAAAAGTAACTTGCCTTAGCAAAAGGAAAAGATTCTTCAGAAGAAATTGTAAGAGCCCTATTGAAATCCCATCCCACGAATGGAATCGACATCCATAAAGTCCAATCCCCATCCTCAGGTGTGAAAGTGGCAGAAATTAGCTTGGCTATGTCATTTTTGTCCATCTTGCAGAAATAGGAATTTGTATTGTAGTCCATTCAGTTTCTACAACCAGAATATACAGATTTTTTTCTTGCGGTATAGAAATATATCTGTTAAACAACTCACGTTGGTTAATACGGAAAGGTGCTGAACTATAACATCAATAAAATGTGGACCACATTCAATCATTTTCTTTCTCAATTCAGCTAAAGATGACAGGGAAGTGCCTTGGTCAGCTTCAGAACCATACTCTTTCAGGTTGGCTTGAGGTTTAGCGTACAAAAGAAAGTCATCGCCAACTTTTAGGTATGGGTCAACCTGAGAAGGCACATTACAGAGCGAAGTAATCAATGAAGCAATTTTGATGATGTAACATTTTCAAGTAAAAGCTGCAGGCGATATAGAAAAACAAACTTAGCTTATATGTGCTTTGAAAAATACCATCGAACTCTGTTGAATATTGGAGTCATTTCCAATTGATTTTTTAGAAGACAGTTCTAATTTTCAGAAGATAAAGGGACTTAATAATTTAGTTTAAGGGTTCTCGTATGTACAAACCTCTATGATTAATTACCTCTTGATCACAAGATAATGCTTTTGATTAAGGCTAATCTATAGATTATATAATATTTTACTTGAGTGGCAGCAATTTGAATTGTGGAAAGTAATAGATGATGCTATTGACTCAGAATAGAGATAGTAGAAAATGATGATAGACCTGATCAAAATATGAAGGTTTCATCATCACTGGTTGTCATGGATACTAGTCTAATTAGTTAGTGAGGGTACTCAACCTAGCCAAACCAAATGATCTTTGGAATAACAATGGTTGTGCATCCAAGGGACCTCATAAACCTTAAGTGAAAGCTCATCAAAGAGACCAATTTAAGCCAACCTTGGAAACCAAAGGACTAGTGTCATATTGAGTATGCTTTATGCTTTAAAACTCATAACCACTATTGGTGAACATTCAGGCTTGGATAATAATTATAATATAACGATGACACGATGTCATCATAATCAAGCTAACCACTTGGTCAAGAAACATATGGCACATCCTTACTGCCATGAGATTTTATATATGCATTACATTTGATATGAATTACTTTGAATGTTTTGGCCGAATATAGATTTATCGTCCTTGGTCAATTCACGGGGGGGGGGGGGGGGGGGGGGGGGGGGGGGGGGGGGGGGGGGGGTGGGGGGGGGGGGGGGGGGGGGGGGGGGGGGGGGGGGGGGTGGGGGGGGGGGGGGGGGGGGGGGGGGGGGGGGGGGGGGGGGGGGGGGGGGGGGGGGGGGGGGGGGGGGGGGGGGGGGGGGGGGGGGGGGGGGGGGGGGGGGGGACCTTTTTGTTTCATATTTCAAGGGCTTAGATAGAAATAAGTTAACATTCAATGATAATTTTTTCTTTGATTATGCCCATTATTGGGAAAAGAACCCAAAATATATCTTTTTAGAAATTTGAAAGGACATTTTTATGAAGAGGATTCCCTTTAATTATGATTTTATTCATCATAGAGGACTATCACTTTAAGTGTTTATCTTTATTACTGAGAACATGATATTAACTGGTAATCCCTCCAATTACATTCTTAGGTCTTGGAGTCTTAAACCTTTTGATTTGTAATGAGTTTCAAGGATTTTGAAAAACCCTTCGATTATGGTATGTAATAAATGTGCCCATCATATGGGCATGATCTTAGAATATTTGGCTCTCACTCCAATAGCTTGTTTAAAAACCCATCTTTAGTGAAATAATTTAGTTTTGTGAGGACTGAAAGTTCCATCAAATGAGATACCTTAAAGATTTAGCTTAGCGATTCTAGAATGATAAAAATACCATTAGCATCATGAATTTGTCATTATTTAATAGAAGCTTTGTATTTAAAGATTTCATATCGCACGCCTTTTGAGATGGGGGTATTGATTAGTGAAGATGTCAATGAATCTTGAATTTTTGAAATTTTGTGGGGCCATTTTGGCACTTCGGGGCTTCAATGATCATGATCTAATTATAGCCATTGGCCTGATTTGGAGGCTTGGTTCAATTTACCCTTGCCTGTTATTGTTATATCTATAATTGAAATTATTTTAATTCACATATTGGGTTGATCTAGAGAATTTAGCTCGAAAATTAGTCTTAATTGGCTCGATTTATTGAGTGGAAGCCCAAGGTTTGCATTTTCAAATTGTGGGCTTAGTATGTTGCACTCAAAACTATTGGAATTAATGCATGTATTGGTCGGTGTGAGAGTTCTCTCCATATTCATCCTTTGCTTGTAAGTTTTATATGTCCCGCATCAGTGATCATTAGTATATGCCACTTAAATCATACAAGTCATTCTTTTGCTCTGACTTTGTCTACTATGCTACTTCTACGCAAAGGATCAGGCCTTACATAATTATCAAGTTAACCCTATCAATTCTAATCTTTGTAAGCGGAGGAACATGCCTTAGAAAGTTGATAGGCCATGACTCATGTTGAATACATCTTTTGTTTGTAGAGGATCACTCCTTAGATCATTGTTAGGCTATGAACGATGCAGACTCTACCCTTCATGTGCAAAGGATTGAGTTTTAGATAATTATTAAGCTATAATCCCTATTTACTCTACCCCATATGTAGAGGATTAGGATTTAGGGGCTATTTGGTTGGGATATTTTAGGGTGTAGAGTAAATGCATCGATTTGGAAAAGTTTGGTGTTTGGTTGGATGAATAGCAAATCCAAGGTAAAGTAAATGCAGTGTATTTCATTCTAGTTCATTTTTAAGGTACTCTACCCCATATATGGAGGATTAGGATTTAGGGGCTATTTAGTTGGGATATTTTAGGGTGTAGAGTAAATGCATCGATTTGGAAAAGTTTGGTGTTTGGTTGGATGAAAAGTAAATCCAAGATAAAGTGAATGCAGTGTATTCCATTCTAGTTCATTTTTAAGGTAAATCGTTCTCACCCAATTTTGAAGCAGAACCATTTACACCACTCCAAAGCTTATTTTACCACCGCCAACAGCCACCGTCTCCATCGCAAACCCACTTCCTACTGCTACCCGCCGTCGTCCATCACTGCCTAACCATATGTAGCAAACTTATAAAATGTTAAATATACTGTTTATATATATGTATATGTATATATATATATAAATATATATATATATATATAAAGCTTCTCCATTATTGGAGTTATGAGTCCCTTAAGACATCATCTCCTATATCTAGGACGAGTTGTGGACAAGCAAACAACTAACTAATTATATGATCATAACACATAATTATTTAGCTATTGACTCGATCCACAACTTTTGTCCAAGATATAGGCAATAACGCATTAAAGAGACTCACAACTCCAATAATGGAGAAGCCCAAATATTGGGACTTACAACTTTACACTATAAGCAATATACAAATGCATTACAAAAAAATTTAGTCATAGTTATGATTAACATGTCAGGGACTGACATGTGACAATAAAGATCAAGTCATTAGAGAGAATTGCATTTATTGTTTTTATATTTGGACAACTTTTGAAATGCAAGCTTACTAACTCCACTCCTTTTATGTGGAGGATAAGTAGTGGAAGATCCTGCATTTTTTTAGGTGTTAATATCCCAGTTCTTTATATTTTTCTACAATTTTGGGTATTTGCATGACTTGAACAAGGTGATAAGTAAGAGGTCACGCGCATCAATATAATCCTAAAGATTCAAGACACTAAACATTGTTTATAAAATTAATCTATAATCTTGAAGCTTCATGGAATTTTTGAATTTTTCATCGATTTTCATTTTTTTTCCCTGCATTTGTGATGAAGCTTCAAAGAATGTTTGAATTTTTCATCGATTTTCTTTTTTGCCTGCATTTGTGGTTTATAAAAATACATTGCAGCCTTTTTTACATCTTTGCTTCTCCATGAATTTCTTGTTTTTTTTTTGTTTGTTTAAATTTTCTTGATGCGACTTGTTTCACAATACAAGTCTTATTGAAGGATGTGCACACCACTTTTGATTTGCTTCCTAATTCAAAATTTTGTCCCTTGATACATAAATATGATTTCATCGGCATGCTACAATTATGTGGCACATACGTGTATCCGAGCTTTAGTATTTTTGTCTAAAGCAGAGGCCAATAGATGCCAATAAGTTGAAGCTTCATGCAACATCTAAATGCTCAGTTCCCCATCTTATAAAAACGTTCTTCCAAACAAAATAATTTAAAAATAAAGAAAACAAAGGACGAACTTGCTTGAATCTACAACATGTTAGACCGGTCCACTGGACCGGTCCAGCCGGTCCAGGCGGGACCAGTTCGGGGGCGAAATCGCGAAACAGGCGGAGATTTCCGCCAGAACGAGCAGCCCGACCGCTCATATAGCGCGTTTTAGGAAGGATTTTTGGGGGGTTTCAGAGAGATGGTTTTTTTTTTGTTTAAATTTTCTTGATGCGACTTGTTTCACAATACAAGTCTTATTGAAGGATGTGCACACCACTTTTGATTTGCTTCCTAATTCAAAATTTTGTCCCTTGATACATAAATATGATTTCATCGGCATGCTACAATTATGTGGTACATACATCTATCCGAGCTTTAGTATTTTTGTCTAAAGCAGATGCCAATAAGTTGAAGCTTCATGCAACATCTAAATGCTCAGTTCCCCAGCTTATAAAAACGTTCTTCCAAACAAAATAATTTAAAAATAAAGAAAACAAAGGAGGAACTTGCTTGAATCCACAACATTATTAAGGAATTAAATCAACCATATTGGAATTAAAAGATAAGCAAGGAGAAACTAGTTTGAAACGCAAGTTTCGGAAAAGAATAAACAAGTCTGAGGACTCACATGGTAAGCTATTAAATGCTTTAGCGAATCTATCAACTCAGGAATCTCACATAGCTTTGCTGTAAAAGCCAGTAGAGCCGCTGAAAGTGTAAAAAGTGACCTTCGGGATGATGGAGGCAATGTTCCTGAAAAATGAAACATATCAATGAGGTAATACCAAGACAGAAAATTGAATAAAGGCAAGTTCATTGAAATGAACTAAGAGAATGAAGTGCAGATAAGAATGTTGACTTTGTTGCTTACAAAATTGTAACATAATTTGTTCTGATGATTACAAAAGCACCTTACCATTAGGGTCCAATGAAGAGTTTATAAGAGACAGCAAAAACTGAAAGAGCTGGGCAGTGGTGCTATGGCTTGTATTCTGCAACAGAAATGCAAGATAGAAGTGAAAACCATAAAATTGTTCTCGACAAACCAATATGAATATGTATCCACAGAAGTTGGATACAAACAACGAAACAAAAACATTGGAAGTGTGCATCATTAAAATTGTGACAAACAAAAAGAAGTTGGAAATGATAAAACTGGAAGTTAGAATAAATGTGTTTTGCATTTGTTTTATACTTTTGTTAACATAAATTTGACTTATTTACTTCAAACTTAGCAACCCTTCTTCTTTGAGTCAAAACTGGAAGAAAATTATCAACTGGGGTATCTCCAACATCAAACCTTTTTTAATACTATAATATATGGACTACACCAATTCTTGAATATTTTACTCGAAGAAAAATGGCATTCCCATCATCTTGCTTCGCCCTATAGTTTTATTAGCAATTCTATCCACTCATGAAACACTGTTATGATTCATGATATTCAAAAGTGGCTGTTTTTTCTTCTATTGGGCTTTGGCCCATTTGTCTATGGTTGTTTGGTGTTTGGAGGATGGAGGCTGATTGGGGTGCTATCTTTTTGGCTTTCTTGCTGGGTTCTTGTGTGCCAAGCTCCTTCTTGGTGGTTGTTCGGTTTTTGGCTTTTCCTTTCCTGGCTGTTCGGCTCCTGGATGTTCCTTTCCTGGCTGTTCGGTTGTGGTGTTGCCATGCCTTTTCCCCTGTTCTGGTTGGATGTTTTGGGCAGCTATTTGGATGTCTTTTGAGCTTCTTTTCCCTATTTAAGGGGGCTGTTTTGTGATGTTTAGAAGTGAAAAATGGATTGAATTTTGGAAAGAAAACCAAACGGTTTTGTAATAGCTTATGAGATATTTTCTTCTTCTCTTCTTCTTATAATTCGTCTAGAACTTCTAATCTCTTTCTTCTATCCATAGTTGCCGCCTCCACATGTATCCTTCTTCTCAAATTTTCTTTAAATTGCAAGGTGTCCCTAAGTCGTGTTTTTTTTTTAAATTATAAATGTTGTTCCGTCTTGTGAGTTGTAGTGTCGATGTGCCATGTTATAAAAAAGGAAGTCTTTTACTTTTTTGCAAAATTTTGATTGCATCAACATCAAACTTCTTCCATAACACCACAGTTGATTGGCAGTAAATCAAAGACTTTGAGATGAGTGACTCTGGAAATCATGACCACTTCCTCATAAGTATCATAAAAACAATTCATGATTCATTGCTCCTAAATTTGTTCACGGTTTGAACCTGAACAACTTCAACCTTCTTGTACGTAAGTAGTTTAACCACATTACAATGAGTATGTTCCAAGAAAAAAAATATTTTTTTAGGCCATCCTCTAGGACTGCATTGGAAACCATATTGCATTATACAAAGTACAACATGAAAGCTAGCTAAACAAAAGTGTTGGTACTGGCTGAAAATTGCTATTTTCACCAATAATTGGAAGACATCAATTATCTTGAGCCAATGAAGGTCCACAAACTCTGTGACAAAACACTTAATAATAAATGGCTTTTGGAGTAAACATCTATCAACAAAATAGGGGAACGAACTGCAAGCATCCTAATTCCTACAAGTGCAAACAAAACGACCTCTTTTTGGATAAAAGTAACTAGTTTTCACCATTAATTAACATCTATCCGCCCATCATGATTAAGCTAAGGGCCAGCAAAATCACGGCCATTTATCAACTTTTCAATAGATTAAACTAATAATGACAACAATGTTACTCAAATTCCAAACTAACAGAGGCTAAGAAACATAACACAAATGTTATCCTCTTCCTTATGTTTCATTTCAATAATGAAATTGCTGAAAAATTGTATTGCGGAAACAAAAAATTTCCAGAAGTTTACCTTACGATGAAAAGAAAGGACTGTTAGGTGGAATGAAAGAGCTATAGCCTCATAATTTGAAGGAAAGTTATCTGGCTGATGAGCTTGCCCCCAAAATGCACAAAGCAATTGACCAATTTGATCTTCATTTAAGATAAACGAACATGATTCCTGTTGCAAAAAAAAGAAGAAATTACTTTCAGCGATGCATAAACTTGCTGTTGGAATGGGAAAAGATAGAACAAAAAAAAAAAAGATTTACTAAAACTATATTTATTTGTTTTAGAATATAAAAAACTGCCAAAAATCTTGGTTTAAAATACGATTTGCATAATGAAGCAAAAATGGCAATTTCTTAGGAGGGGTAGGATCATGGAAACTATTCTGCAATGATGGAAACGTACTTACCGCTGCATGCGAATAATTGGAAATGGCAGTCCTGTCAATGATTGAGCAGCTTAATTTATGAAAACATGGTGAACTTTTCTGAATCCATCCATGTTTCCATTCACCTTTGTTAATATCCTTTATGCTACTTTCATTTTGCATGTCATTTCCTTGCTTAATCCCATTTCCATATTCCCTTTGGAGTTTTTCAAGCAGAGCAGTTGTTGAGGCAAATGCTGGCGTAGTTCTGAAATGCAATTTCTTAGATTCATACAAACACTCTGGCTCATATCTTGGATGAATTAGTGTTCCAGCAATGAGAACGGAAAATATCATATGAGCTCCTACACGGGCCTCAACATCAGGATGTAGCATTGCCTTAAAAAGCTGCACCAACAGTGCCTCTGGAAATATCTGAAGAGCAGTACGCCAAAGGAAAGTTTAAGTTCCATTATTAAAGAAAAAGAAGGTAAAAACCTTTTGAGAATTTAAACTAAATGTAAAGAGGGTAAAGAAAATATGGACTTCTTTGCAGAAAATGGGGTGGGTGGGATAGTGAGCTACTGAGCTTTTCCCTAAGAGGTAGCAGGGTGGACAAAACACTGAATGATTCATTACTGGTTGGAAATCAAATATCTGCGGAATGCTTATCTAATATTATCTTTTAAACCACAAGAAACCCAACTCGATTCAAGAGGAGCTAGATATTTAGCCAGCTTAAACTACATAATGGAAGGCCACAAGAAACAAAAACACAGTAAAAAAATCATCATGGATTAATATTATATAATAATTATTGTTTAATGGGAACTAGAAACCAAAACTGCACTTAAATTCCAAAGCACAGTTTCTTTAATGCTTAATTAAAAAGCATAAAGATATCAAAATGATCGCACTGATTTGGACAAAAAGAAGATTAAAATATGTTCATCTATAGCACATGCAGGGCATATTACGGATCTTCATGAGTAATTTCATATTTTCTCATGCTAGCTAGAAAATTGAGGACATTTTGGAACCTTTCCCAGTAAGAAAAACAGAATAGGAAACAAATGAACTCACCAGTTCTGAATGAGACCGAGAAGATGTCAAAGAAATTATACGAGCAAGGATCAGCAAAGATCCAATTGTAGCCCTAGCAACAATAGCAATACTGGCAAGCTTCTCAAGGGTTATAGTCATCATGTCATAAAGTGGGCTTACATCACCAATCTGGAACAAAGATCAAAAGAAGGCTCAGAATATGCAAATAAACAAGCAATGGCTAACATATATGCTCCTAGTGCAAAAATAAACTTCTAATTCCAATCAACCAAATAACTCACAAGACAAATACTTAGTACAATAAACGACCTCTGACCAATAACATACTTACCCCTTTAACAATCTCCAATAAGCAATCTTCAATAGAATCTTGAAGCAAGAAGTTCCAGCTTGATTCCTCAGGTCTAACCATTTCTACGGTAACCTGGAGACTTCTTCTCAAATGTCTACATAAATTACTTACAATACCAATTTCAGCAATTACAGACCGTAATCTTAGCTGTTTAACCAAGGAAGTGGCAATCTGAACTATGTTGGACTTTAGTTGAGGATCATGCATGATATCCTTGTTGTCTAGATGTCGTACTAAAGCAATCAAGATAAATTGTTCATTTCCTGAGAGTCAACAAAACATTGGAAAAAATTACATCATGAATTTCATATATATTCTATGCAAATGAATACCTGCTATGCACAAAAGTGAAATGAAGATACGAAGACATAGGTGGGACAAAACAGACAAATTCAAAATATGTAAATTAACTTTCAAAGAAAGGCTTCATAAGCAAAATTACCAGAGATTTTTGACAAACATGCCATATTCAATAAAACATTCAGAGCCAAGCCATGCTTAGGAGCCCAATGTTTGTGCAAATCAAAGTAGGTAAACATTGGATCAAGTATCCTGCGCATTGTTGTGCTCTCCTTTGCTAGTTCGGCCAGTTTTTGAATGCATATTTGTGACCATACTTTCGGATTTTCGTACTCCTCTCTGCACCCAAATATGCAGATAATCAACAGTGTGCTTGTCGAGATAAATGAAAAATAATGTATTAAAAATGCTACCAATATGGACTAGGTATAGAATTGAAGGCAAAGATTTTGAGATCAAATCATGAGAAATCTATGCCTATGACTTGCATATGAAAACTAGATGAATAAGTACGGAAGGATAGTGAACCACTGGATCCATCACACTAAGGCTTCGTTTGGGACGGCTGTTTCCTTGCTGCACTGTATGAAACGTAACCCATAGGTGGTTTGGGAGTACACGTTCGTGCTCCGTTCTCGAAATTTTTGCGTCCTGCGGTTGCTTCTCACGTCGGGCGGAAGACTCCCGCGTTTCAGCTGCTTCCCGCTGTTTGTATCTATGAGAAATACTTTAATGCCCTTACTATGGAACCCAAAACACTCACGCAGCTCTCGCCGTTTCTTCACTCTTTCCAATTCACAGCCGAGAGCAGTGAAGCTTCGCCTGCTCTTAATATGCTCGTCGCCGAGAAAGGGGATGGTCCGGTGGTGCTCTTACTCCACGGCTTTCCGGAACTCTGGTACTCTTGGAGCCATCAAATTGTCTTCCTCGCTGCCGGCTGGTACCGCGTCGTTGCCCCCAACCTCCGTGGCTTCGGCGACACAGACGCCCCTCAAAACCATCTTCGCGTCGTCGAGCGACGGCCGCACCTTGGTCCATTTATAGGCTTTCTTTTTCAAGTCGCAGAGAAGGAGAACGACCTCCTCGCCGCTGACGAGAGCTACGTAGTAGCTTCCGGGCAACCTCCACCGGAGAATTTGGCGTGGAGAAGGTTCCAGAAAAGGTCCAATCGCCCACGTCGACGGATTTGAAATCCTTCTTGCACCAGAAGGGCCATGGATTGAGATCGACTCTGCAGGTGGATGGTGGATCGCAACTGCCGCCGGAACCGTCGACGGAGTTGGACAGGGAGTGGTTGATGAAAGTCTTGTTCCACACTACTGTTACCCTGCGAAGCTTGTTACCAATCTTGGCTTTGTATATGATGATCACAGAGCATTGCAGTAGCGCCTTCCACGCCACCGTTGCAACCTTGCAATTAATTAAACAAGGATCTAAATACAGTACCATTTGCTTGGTACTGTATTTTTAATAAAAATTTATTTTTTACAACAATATTAAAAAAAAAATTTGGCAGCTTTAATATATTTAAAAAAAGTTGTACCAACTTAAGAAGTGATACAATTTTGATTTAGAATTGTTAGTTGATTATCATATACATTTAAAAAAATTTAAATTTTAAAAAATTATATATTTCATCTAAATATATATAAGGGTATGAAGGTAAATTGTTCCCATGCAGCTGCAGCACAGCAGCTCTACAGTTATACTATCCAAACAAAATATAATGATTTATATAAAGCAATTTCAGGAAGCAACTTTCTGTACAACAATTTCACAACCTACTTTACCGACAGCTGCAGCAGTCCCAAACGCACCCTAAATGGGACTAGACCTAGAACCTGGCTTATTGGCTGACAAGATAAAGCTTGGTCATGTCACCATGGAGGCACCCAAAGATTCTCTCTATTAGGGATCATAATAGTTAAGCATATGTTAAGAGTTAATTCAAAAGAAGTTATATTCTTTTATTTCAAGATTTTTTCTTGGGAATCTGATGCATAATAGGAGCTCATTTTTAAGTAAAACTACAAAAGAGAAGTATATGAATCTTTCTCTGCAAGTCAAAAGGGTGAAATAGAGAGACTTTGTTGAAAAAAAGTGGAACTACTTTAGATGGGGGAAAGAAAACTTCTTAAGAGTGTTGAAGAAAGAAGAATCAAGATAATTTCTTAAGAGTTTTGAAGAAGAGTTGGCAAACCCTAGGCATGTCATTGAGAAGAGGTGAGGCCATGGCACCTCAAGGTTTATAGGAAAGTGTCATTCAAAAGACATTGCCTCAGAGGTTGCCTTATAATGTCTAACAAATGAACGCCTTGCTTATAATCTCTAAAAATGAGGTAAATTCCCTATCTTGAATGAAGAAATGACTATTAATACTTTGAAAATAGAAAATGAGTTAGTTTTCTATGATAACTTGATATGTGGTGACGTGACATGAACATCAAGAAATTGGAAATAAGTATCCACGCTAGGAAACAAGAAAGATCAAATGTGAGTGCAAGAGCTTCAAGTTCCAATGTAGCAAACTGTGGGGATGACAAGGAGTCTGACGATATATGCAAATGACGGAAGGCTATAACCCAATTATGGCTAAGGTAGCATGCATGATGATGTAGAAAAGTAGCAGAGAAGAATACATTATCCCTAAGATAAATAGTTTAACTTGCTTTGCTTGGCCAAGCATTTTGTAACTTGGGAATCTAGCACTTTTGATACCACTGCTGCATAAGCAAGAAAGTTTTATTTGACTTACTTTTAATCTCTCTTTTTCTACTTTATGTTTCAAGGTAAGTGAAAGAAGAAAGAGAGTAAGTTCTCTAACAGGATCTAGGATAATAGCCTCAGTATTGTACAAGTTCACTAGACATATTCAAACATGCTGCAACAATAACAAAAATTATTGAAAATTCAGCAAGTATTATAGGTTGCTCGAACAAAATATACTGAGACAACATAAAATGAAGATGAATTTCAAAATAACCTATATGGAAAGTAATTTACCTAAATCATTAATATAGAGTGGCAATCAATCAAATAGCCAAAGCTAGCACGGCAAAAAGCTAGCACATAAACTAAGCAGTAGCACTATGCTTTGCAAGAGACGATGCAATAATAAGGTGATGTGAAACTACCAGGAGTTAGCGAGAGATTGAAAGAGAAATTGTTAAAAGTTTACCATTACAAAATTATGCTTCAAGACAAAGGAAAATTTTAGGGATTCGTAGTTTTTCACTTGCTTAGTCAAAGAAGTACATGTAGATTAACCAAGACACTCTTAATCAAATACAAAGGCAAGAGTAACATTAATAGCTTATAACAAAAATCTGAAATTTAATAATGAGAGGTTCACCTTGAGGGTTTTCTCACTCAAAGGTTCTAGGGCTTAGCGGATGAAGATATTCCACACTAGACTTGAAATCACCACTAGGAAGAGGGAGCCTAGGATCTTCGTTGTTGGAAAGGTAGCCGGCAACAGTTGGATACGTTGGTGTCCCACGATCTTCCACGACCTGGTTGGGAGATGTTCTTCAATCAACGATGCCAATGTGAAGATGATGCGGTCTAGATAACTTTCCACGGAATCGTCGTCGATAAAAGAAGGGAGATTGCAAGATGTTCGTCCGTCCTTGATCATCATATACGAAGCCATGGTCAATGGGATCGGCCATGCACTAGCATAAGACTTGGAGAGGTTGGGGGGGAACATAAATCTGAAATTTTGTTCAAATTTTATGTATTAATTAGGGAGGGAAAGGAATTTGGATTTCAAATTCAATTTGGGCTTGGGGAATAAAAGGCAAAAGAGGGGAAGATGCCCATGCATGGGGCGGCGGCAAGGTGAGAGGGAGAGGGATTAGGAAAAAAAGATTTATGGGATTCCTAATTTATCCTTGCAAATTAGGAATGAGGGAATAAAATCCAATTTAATTTAAAATTGAATTGGATCTCATTTAAAACTTTCCTAATTTGGCTTTTATTAGATTTGGAAACTATTTGAAACTCAATTTGACTTCCAAATCTAGGGAGTAATGGGGGGAAGGTCAGCGGTTGAAATTGTGGATGGGGATGGTGGAGGAGGGACGGCCAGCGGGTGGGGCTCGAGGCCGGCGGCTTGGGCATCCATGATACCACTGCTGCATAAGCAAGAAAGTTATTTTTATTTGACTTACTTTTAATCTCTCTTTTTCTACTTTATGTTTAAAGGTAAGTGAAAGAAGAAAGAGAGTAAGTTCTCTAACAGGATCTAGGATAATAGCCTCAGTATTGTACAAGTTCACTAGACATTCAAACAAGCTGCAACAATAACAAAAATTATTGAAAATTCAGCAAGTATTATAGGTTGCTCGAACAAAATATACTGAGACAACATAAAATGAAGATGAATTTCAAAATAACCTATATGGAAAGTAATTTACCTAAATCATTAATATAGAGTGGCAATCAATCAAATAGCCAAAGCTAGCACGGCAAAAAGCTAGCACATAAACTAAGCAGTAGCACTATGCTTTGCAAGAGACGATGCAATAATAAGATGATGTGAAACTACCAGGAGTTAGCGAGAGATTAAAAGGAAATTGTTAAATGTTTGCCATTACAAAATTATGCTTCAAGACAAAGGAAAATTTTAGGGATTCGTAGTTTTCCACTTGCTTAGTCAAAGAAGTACATGTAGATTAACCAAGACACTCTTAATCAAATACAAAGGCAAGAGTAACATTAATAGCTTATAACAAAAATCTGAAATTTAATAATGAGAGGTTCACCTTGAGGGTTTTCTCACTCAATGGTTCTAAAGGATGAAGATATTCCACACTAAACTTGAAATCACCACTAGGAAGAGGGAGCCTAGGATCTTCGTTGTTGGAAAGGTAGCCGGCAACAGTTGGATACTTTGGTGTCCCACGATCTTCCACGACCCGGTTGGGAGATGTTCTTCAATCGACGATGCCAATCTGAAGATGACGCGATCTAGATAACTTTCCACGGAATCGTCGACGTCAAAATTTAGGTCAAAGAAGGGAGATTGCAAGATGTTCGTCCGTCCTTGATCATCATATACGAAGCCAAGGTCAATGGGATCGGTCATGCACTAGCATGAGACTTGGAGAGGTTGGGGGGGACATAAATCTGAAATTTTGTTCAAATTTTATGTATTAATTAGGGAGGGAAAGGAATTTGGATTTCAAATTCAATTTGGGCTTGGGGAATAAAAGGCAAAAGAGGGGAAGATGCCCATGCATGGGGCAGCGGCAAGGTGAGAGGGAGAGGGATTAGGAAAAAAGAATTATGGGATTCCTAATTTATCCTTGCAAATTAGGAATGAGGGAATAAAATCCAATTTAATTCAAAATTGAATTGGATCTCATTTACAACTTTCCTAATTTGCCTTTTATTAGATTTGGAAACTATTTGAAACTCAATTTGAATTCCAAATCTAGGGAGTAATGGGGGGAAGGTCAGCGGTTGAAATTGTGGAGGGGGATGGTGGAGGAGGAACGGCCGGCGGGTGGGGCTCGAGGCCGGCGGCTTGGGCATCCAAGGGGGGAGGCCGTCGGGTTGGGTAAGGCCTGGCTATAGAAGGAGGAAGGGAGAGGGGATTGGGGAGGCCGGTGATGGATGGGCTAAGGGAGGAAAGGGAAGTAGGGGAAAGGAAAAGATCAAGGAGCCGCAAACCTTAGAATCTTCCAAAGATTGACGAGTATTGCTCTCACCCTCACCTAGAGTTTCTTCTCTCAATAACTCACTAAGAGATCAAGCAAAGAAAGTTAAATTTTCATTCATAATTCATTATTGAATACAATAGTGGAGGCCACAATATATAGGCCTAAAAGAAGTAAAAAAAAAAAAACTGACACATATGCCCCTTGGGCTACAACTCGAAACAAACTCAAAGAAAGAGTACAAACGTAATCTAGTAAATAAATAAACCACCATACATGAAATACATCAAAAATACAGACTGTGAATCGTAGCCATTGATCTATGATTCATATGCAGGTAAACTCGCCGATAATATCTGTCGATGTTTTCATCATAAGGAATAAGAAAGCAATTACTAGATTGTGAAAGATCAGACCACTGGAAGTATCTAACTAATCCAATAGTATACCAAAGAATAAATATCACTTCAGTTCCTACAAAAGTGAAATTAACATTGGCTTCATAATACATCATTGGCATGCATATTCGGCCACATCCACTTTGAAACCAAACTTCTTTTTTATTTTGGGATGATGTATTATATTGTAGAAAAAAACTATGTGGAAATAGGAAAGCATTGGTGGAATGGATTTTAAACAATATGGGGCTTAACTAAGGAAAATCGAATCAAGAGTATCATTCCCAAAACCCCACTACCTTGTTAGCACATCGGAATTCTTCATTTCTGGCAATGGTTGAATTATCATATTGTTTAGACTGCCATCATCATGCAAGATTGGCCCTGCTCTTGCTTCACATCTAATGACTTCATCAACCCAATTATGATGTTTGTCCAATCCTTCATCAGCATCCTTCGGTTGCTTGTCAACCCCATGATTATCTAGGATAGCATAGATGATCTGCATCATATTCATGAAACCATGAAATTCAATATTACAACTGTATAATAATGTTTAATTTAGATCACAGCCGAATAGAGATCAAAATCTTCTAGGCTACTATATTGGATCAACATTTCCCTAAATTCCTTCGGTTCACTGCTATAACTGTGAAGTTTGCTCGTAAGCAAAAGCTAGACAATTTCAAACGTCTCATCTGTACACAAATTTTGCATACAGCTTAATAATTCATTTAGAAAGAAGATTCTTGTATAAAACATATTAACTTGTGTTCTGGATTTTTATATTACATTTATTTTAATCATCTTCGAGAATGTCAAGCAATAGTTATGCCCTTCTCAGTGAACATAGTAAGAAGGATTAGATTGTGGAACCTCTTGCCGTCACGAAATGCAGAATAGTATAGGTATTCTACAGCTATAACTCAAAATTGGAGCCAACATTCTTCTTTATCAAACTTGAATAAACAAAGTCTGAAATGAGCAGAAGATGACAATGAGCTGACCCTTTACCTCGTCAAAATCAGAAAAAATGTATGAATATTCAGACATAAACCAAACCTGCAATAGAAGAAAAAATGACAAACCTCTTAGAGAAAAGATATTTTTGGATAAAATTCCACATCCAATTCAAGCATTGCCTAAAGGAAAAGAATTACCATTGATGACAAGCATTGAAGGCTTGCAGCTACTAGTTGATTATTATGCTCTTCTCCATCCTCTCGTGCCAGCCTAGTAACCTTAGGAACAATACTCTCGATACAGCATGCATAGGTACCGTCAGCCTGTTCATTTTTTTAATCAACGTAGTAGTACAAAAAGAATAAAAGGGAATTGAGATCAAATATGAAAAAACCTATAACCTATCAAAATAAGAAAAAAAAAACAATCCAGCCTTTCTAAAGCAAAGGAATCAAATTTGATCTTTCAATTAGATTACTACAGATTAATTGAGATCAGAATAATCAGGCAAACAAATGATTGACTAATCAACATATTAAGTGATAAAAGAGTCTAATAACTATGCACTATATAGAAGATATGAAGAGTGTCCCGGGGCATGATTAGGTTATCTCCATTATCTTATATAACAACTTATAGTCAAGCAAACAATCTATCTGCAATAAAAAGACAAGGCTTCATGCATCAATCTCTCTATAAATCTCACCTTGATGAGAGGTTTATGCATCGATACAATGTTTTGTTTTGCACAATTGAAGCCTAAAAATATAAGAGGGCCATGGCCTTGGTTAACTTATGCTTCTCTTAAACCAAGGCAAGTCAAGTTAGCCCTCCTGCCCTTAGTTGGACTGTGATCCAAAGTTGAATTGAGTAACCCTAGGAGATCCAATGTAACCCTAATGTTTTTACCATTTATTTTAAGCAACAATGCCAACGATTGTGGCATATTATAACCATACTCCACAGTCATTTGTGGGGGCGGGGAATTGAACTGCAGGCTAGCCCAACATGATTCCACTTCACTGATTGCACTACTAGCTGACTCAAACAATCCCAACAAAAATAGCATAAGTTCCAATCAACCTCAATGACCTGGTTGACCCACTGGTCCCACTTCACTCTCGATGAGCCACTATAGTCTTCAAAAGCCCAAGAATAGCCAAGGCAAACACTAGTTGGTCTTAGGCAATTTCGTCCAATATAAGCAAATCTTAACTATCCAACTTGTTCAAGCCATAATATGTATGTATGCACAAACTTACCCTATCAAGTCAGTCGCTCCATATCCCTATCAAAATCCTTGTAAACCCCTCAGTTCAGATCGCGCGATGCCGAATAATTCCAATTGAACACTATATTTTTATTCCTCTTAACTGCCCTCTCCCTTTCTCCTCTTTGTCACCTGAAACACAGGTCAAACTCCCACACCCTTTTTTCTCCACACAACTCCAGTCGAACGAAATTCCTCTCACATGCCCATTACTCCTGTGATTCCCCACGCAAATGACCACAACACTCTCGCCACCAATCCTAGTGTCGCTCCATACCCCTATCAAAATCCTTGTAAACCCCTCAGTTCAGATTGCGCGATGCAGAATAATTCCAATTGAACACTATATTTCTATTCCCCTTAACTGCCCTCTCCCTTTTCTCCTCTTTTTCACCTGAAACACAAGTCAAACTCCCACACCCTTTTTTCTCCACACAGTTCAAACTTCTCTACTTCCTCCAGTCGAACGAAATTCCTCTTACATGCCCATTACTCCTGTGATTCCCCACGCAAATGACCACAACACTCTCGCCACCAATCCTAGTGTCGCCATAGCCACCACAACCCACTTTATCATAGTTCTCATGCTCTTCCTCACTCTTCTCCAAAACCACCGACAAACTCCCTCTTCTTTGCCTCTACTTCTAAAACTAACTAAGAACTGAAGAAAAATCAACTCTACTAGACTTCTAATGCTGCCTGAAAATAACTATTAGCTAAACCCATCTAATCATTTTAAAATCATGATGTCAATGTTCGTATACCATGAAAGTTAGGCAAAGTTATTTTTTATTTAGAAATGGTGACTTAGCCCAAACATGAAGCAAATGCAAGTTAGGCAAATTTTAATTTTATGTTTGGTCGAAGGCTTTCTATTATTGTTTGAATTCCTAAATATTGTTTCTAGTTGATTTTATTTTAATCTTTATTTTGTAGAAAAAAATTATTACTACAAAAGCCTTTTATAAAAATAAACTCAAGATTATCCTAAGCAAGCAAATACTTGTTGGTTTTGGTTTTGCACATATTTTTAAATTTTGATTTTGCAAGTAAATTAGTTTATTTTTGTTTGCAATTTTTTAGTTTTACTGCAATGGTTTAAAGAAAAATTTTAATAAAATAAAATCCTGAACAGTATATGACAAAACATTAAAATAAAATGCAAAAAAAAAAAAGATGGTATATCCTAGGAAGTCTAAAGTTGGTGCCCTATTCAACATCTAGAGTATGCTAAATAAGCTATAAGAATGCCACTCTATGACTTATTTGTTCCATCTTCAATTTTAAATTGATTAATTTAATCTAAAAGTACTTTCACTTCAAGTTTTTAATATTGTATAACTTTTAATTTTAAGATTTAAGATTTTATTTTTATTTTAGAATTTTGAAGAACATTTCAAATGCATAACAGTCATCCTAAGGTGAAGCTTGTCATTTAAAACATCCCGGATATAATAAAGTGTATATTTCACCGAAAGTGACACTTTATAATCTCTTAGAAGCAATCAAGTGCTTTTTATGATTTTTTAGTATTTAAAATTTTTATTTAGGAGTTTTATATAGAAAATTTTAATTTGAATTTCATTCATTTCAAATTGCTTATTTATTATTCTCCATAATTAATTTGATGACATATCAAATTATTTAGTTTATTATTATTAATAGTTTTTTGTGTTAATAGAAATTTATTTAAATTTTCAAATAATAATTAATATTTTAATTTTTTAATTTCTAGGCCATTTAATAAATCTTTTACTAAAGCTAAGGAATATTAATTTTGCATTTTAGGCTAAGATGAAGCCAAAAAAATTATGAAATAATTCTCTAAAATTAAGGACAACTTCATGAACATCCTATAAAATTAAATTATTTTGAATTATTCTAAATTTATATTATTTTTAACTATTTAATGATGAAATTTTAGTTTATTGTTTAAATAAGGTCCAAATTTATGGAAAATATTTCAGCGATTAGGGTAATCACAAGAACCCTAAAAAAATTCAGCTCATTTGTATTTAATTCGAATATTTTGGAATTTTAAATTATTTAATAACCCTCTTTATATTTTTATATTAAATCAACTTCAAATTTGATGAATTTGATCATAGAAGCTAACCAAATAAACTCAACACCTCTCTAAATTAAAACTATAGAACTCAATACCCTCAAATTCAGTCCTTGGAAGTTTGAAATCATTTAGAGTTGAAATGAATTTTAGGAAAAATTTTTAATTTTAAGGATAAATTTATTTATTTTTTTTATTAAAGATATTTGATGAAATTATCTTTATTTTAATTTTTTTCCCAGTAGTCTATAAAATTAGAGATAAAATTATCTAGTCCATGAAATTAAAATTAGGATAGGAACTTAGAATATAAGTTCCCTTACTGGAAAATTAATGGAATTAATAGATATTATGATTCATAGAAAGATAAATATTTTGTGCATTCAGGAAACTAAATGGGTTGGAGAGAAGACTAAGGAAATTGATAGTTTAGGATTTAAACTTTGGTATTCGGGTAGGAGTCGTACTAGAAATGGCGTTGGAGTTATTATAGATAAGAATTTGAAGGATAATGTTATAAAAATTAATAGGATTGGAGATAGAATTATAGCTTTAAAGATTATT